AAAAAACTATTAAGAGAAATTTCCTTAAGACTTAAAGCCAGGGGGCCAGCAGGTGGCGTGATGGTTAAGGCACTAGACACTCCCACATGGCTGACCATGGTTCAAGTCGCAGATCTGGTGGCTTGCTTTCTTGCTTCCTCTCTCTCTCTCTCTCTGATCAAATTAAAAATAAATTAATGAATAAATAAAATAAATAATTCTTTTTTTTGAGAGATTTTTGCTATAGGGTGCGTGCATTCACCAGTCAGAAAGAGACAGAGAGACAGAGAGCGAGAAATCACCCCCCAGGGGGGTTGGCCACGCCGCAATTCCTTCTCCTCTCGGGATCTTGGGCACGCACGCACACGTGCCTGGCATGAGTTTTAAGCCACTGGGTCCAAGACGTGAACTGCGGTCGACTACGTGGGAGTCCAGTGACATAGCCATTACGCTAACTGCTGGTCCCAAAATTAAATAATTCTTTTTAAAAAATTAAAGCCAGGAAAAAGGTTAGGATTCAGTTTTCAGTTCAAATGCTAGGTAGATGAACCTATCAGCATTTGAAGAGAAGACAAAAATTCATAAATATGGAAATGAAAGCATCGAAGAAAATCAGTAACGTTTTAGTCTAAAGTAAAAAAATTCTGTTTCATTGGTTCAGACTCACGTAATTAATGTCTCTTCTGTTGAATTTGCAGTGTGGCTGAGGTCTGATTTTTCCATCTAAACTCTGGGAGTTAATGTTCAGCTCCAGACTCGTGCCTACCATTAGGCTGGCCATTCCCTTGGTTGTTTTCTGTACTCTTATTCCTGTGTGTCCAACTGTAGTTTTCCCAGTACAGCACTCCCTTCAGCACTTCTTCAAGAGCTGGTATGGCGTGGGTAAATTCTTTCAGGTTTTATTTATTTGAGAATGTTTTTGTCTTTTTTTCCCATCTGAGAGATAATCTTGCTAGGTATAATATTCTTGGTTGAAATTGTTTTTCACTTAACATTTTGAGTATATCTTCTCTTTCCTTGCTTGTATTGTTTCCGCTGCAAGGTCCAACATTAGTCTTGTGGGATAGCCTTTGAGAGTAACTTGACATTTCTCTTTTGCCAATTTTAGAATCTTGTCTCTGTCTGTGGTTTTGGTCAATCTGGCTATGATGTGCCTTGGGGAAGATCTTCTTGGTTGAGTCTGTGTGGGGTCCTTTGTATTTCTTGAGTCTGGGTATTTGAGTGCCGCTCTAGGTTCGGAAGGTTTTCTTCCAGGATTTTATGGAATAGATTATCAATGCCTTGATTTCTTCACCTTCTGGGATGCCGAATGTTTGGGTATTTAATGGTATCTGGTATTACTTGTATGTTACTCCCATATTTTTAAGTTATTTTCTCAGTCTTTTTGGTGAATTTTTCTAGGTCAGAGGTTCTATCTTCTACACCTGAGGTTCGATCTTCTGCATGATCTAATCTGCTTTTGATATTTGCAATGGAAGTTTTTATTTCCTGTATTAGAGCCTTTATCTCTAACAATCCCGTTTGATTCCTTTATTTTTATGATGTGTGTCTCCTCCTTCAGATCGTGCAAGACCTTCCTCACCTCCTGGAACCCGGTGTTTCTTTTCTCCTGCATCTTCTGGAGTTCATTGTCTCTATTCTCCTGCATCTCTGTTAGCTTTGTCACTATGAATATTTTAAATGCTTTTATCTGACATTTCCATGAGTTCCCTTAAATTCTTTGTGGAGGAAGAGGTGTTATTCTTCTCCATTAGAGGAAAAATATTTTCTTGGTTTCTCATATTTCTTGTGTCTCTGTGGTGGTGTCTGGTGGTCTAATGGATTATATGTTTTTTCCTGTTTTTTGGAGTTAAACCTTAGCATTCAGGGGAATGCAGGAGGTGACTGTAGTCTGTAAACAGTACTGTTTTGCTCCCTTTGTACAGCCGATTCAATGAAAATTGAGGGTTAATCGAACCCTAAAAGTATTAAGCTATTTGGCTGCTGAGCATCTTGCTAGACTTGTCTAGAAAATCAGTGTGTGGAGGCTGAGCAGAAAAGTGAGAAAGGTAAAAAGAAAAGAAAAAGGAATAGAAAAAAAGAAGAGGGGAAAAAAAGACAAAAACAATACAAAAAAGAAAAAATTTTTGTTTTCAAAAAACAAAAACTGCACGGCAAATGGGGCCACTTAGAACTCATAGATGGTAGGACCAGCAGTTAGTGTGGTGGGTGTGTTGCTGGATTCCCATGTAGTCAACCGTGGTTCGAGTCCCAGACCTGGTGGCTTGAACTCACGCTGGGCATTGTGCGTGCGTGCCCAAGATCCTGAGAGGAGAATGGAGGAGAAGGGATTGTGGCATGGCATCCCCCCTGGGGGGTGATTTCTCACTTTTGGTCTCTGTCTCTCTCTGTCCTTCGGAAGAGTGTCCACGCCCCGTTGCAAAAACCTCTCCATGGGGCTGGCAGGCGGTGCGGTGGATAAGGGCGCTGGATTCCCACTGGATTCCCGCTGGATTCCTGCAGGGTTCAAGTCCCGGACCTTGTGGCTTGCTTTCTCACTTTCCCTTTCTCTCTCTCTCTGGTGGTCAAATAAAAAATAATAATAATAACAAATGGAATTAAATAAATAAATCAATAAATAAAACCTCTCCCCCAAAAAGAACTCATAGATGGCTGCTGATTGGCTTATCTGATGGGCGCAGGGGGAAAGGTAAGAATTAGAAAGACGAAAGAGCGGCAGAGAGCAAAGATTAACATTTTTTAATTACATATATATAGGCGTGTGTGTGTGTATAGAGAGAGAGAAGAGAATGAGTGGGGTGCTCTGACCTGGCTCCTGGCTAGACCTGGGGAGCAGGAGGGTGAAGTCTGGGCAGAGGGTCTTCAGTGGTCGAAATCCTTATTTTTTTAATAATTATTTTATTTAAGTTTTTATTTATTTATTTATTTACTTTTGAGCAGAGAGGGACAGAGCGAGAGGGAGAGAGAAAGTGAGAAAGCAAGTCGCCAGGTCCGGGACTCGAACCTCAGTCGGCCACGTGGGAGTCCAGTGCCGTTAACCATCACACCACTTGCTGGCCCCCCATTATTATTATTTTCTAAAATTTGACCAGAGAAAGTCAGAGAGAGAGAAAGAAAGGTAAGGTAAGAAAGCACACTGCCAGGTCTGGGTCTCACACTGCAGTCAGCCACGTGGGAGTTCAGTGCCCTAACCACCACGCCACCTGCTGGCCCCAAAACGACTCAATCCTTAAAAGAAACATTCAGGTCGGGGCTGGCAGATGGCATGGTGGTTAAGGGCACTGGACTCCCACATGGCCGATTGTGGTTTGAGTCCCGGACCTGGTGGCTGGCTTTCTCATTCTCTCTCTCTCTCTCTATTCCTCTCTGGTCAAATTAAAAATAAAATAATTCTTTAAAAATTAAAAAAATGAAACATTCAAGGCACTCATACCACATGTTTGTCTGTCTGTTGGGGACCTATGTCCTGCACTGCCATTTCCTGTGTGATCTTGGGGAAGCCACTTCACCTCTCTGAGCCTCAGTTTCTTCATCCAAAAGGGGGATGGGGAGGGCTGGAGCGCTGGCCCAGGGTGCACCTGTTCTGTTAGTGCTGCTGTTCTCGTCTGCCACCAGGGTCCCTGTCTCTCTCGGTCTCTGTCTCTGTTGCTCTCTCAGCTGTGCATTTCCTGCTGTTTCTTGCCATCTCTTCCCAGCTCTGTCGTTCTCCCATCGCTGTCTCAGACTCTCTCCCATATCTAAAAGGCTCTGTTTCTGTCTTGCACCGCTCTCCCCTTTGCCCCAGTGCAGCCCCCTGTCACCGAGGAGTGCAGAACTAACTGTCCCCTGTGTCCCAGGGCCAGTACCTGTTGGAGCATTGCGAATTCATGGAAGCCCTGAAAATCTTCTCCCAAGCTGCCGAGCTCCAGCCCGAGAACCCCAGTTTTCGGTACCGATGGTGAGTGTGGTACCCCTCCAGCCCTGAGAGCCCCTTCCTGCCACCCCGCTGGCAGACAGGGAGCACTGTTTGCCCTCTGCCCACAGCATGGCCTGTCTCCTGGCCCTCAGACGGCATCACGACTGCTTGTCACTCGTCACTAAGGAGATTAAGGGGGGCACAGTCAACGCCGACATCTACATCCTCCGAGCCAGGCTCTACAACTTCTTCCAGAAGGTAGAGAAAGAAGGTGCACCCCCCCGAGGGCCCCCAGTGCACCCCGAGACTACAGGAGGAGACAGAGCTGTCAGCTCAGAAGTCACACCTCCGCAGTGCCGTGGGCGCTGTCCTCTCAGGGCAGAGACCCTGCCTGGGCCCCGACCACTGGCCTACCCAGTCAGGTAGCTGGTCTTCGCTCAGTTCTGGCTCTGTGCCAGGACTCACTGAGCCCTGTGGAAACCACAAGGTGAGGGACCCAGGTCACCCTGTGCTGATGGAACTCGCAGCCTGGGGGAGACGGCCCTGAGCAGATGGTCTCCCCACAGTCCAGGGAGACCCATTCTCCTCCCCCCCCTTCATGCTTCTCTTCTTCCTCTCTCCCTCTCCTCCTTCCCCTCCTTCCCCTCTTTCTTTCCTGTTCACCTCTTTCTTTTTTTCAGTTTTGCCATAGGGTACATGTGCATGCCTTTGCCAGGGAGAGACAGAGAAGGAAAGTGAGAAGTCAACCCCGGTGGGGATGGCCACACCGAGTCCCTTCTCCTCCATTCTCCTCTTGGGATTTGGGGCACGCATGCACACGCGCCCGGCGTGATTCTCAAACTGCTGGGCCCTGGCCTGGCGCAGCTCGTCATGCGGGATCCAGCACCCTAACCTCTGCGCTGCCCGCTGGCCCTGCTCAAACATTCACCAAGCACTCCCCTCCCCACCACTCAGGGACTGGGCACAGCAGCACAGTACTGGATGACTTGAGGGCAAGCGAGTTGGGGTCGAATGGAGGAAGCAGGGAGGGGGGACAAGGGAGTTTGGGTCTGGTGGAGGAAGTGAGGCATGGAGGGTCAGGAGAAGAGCTGGAGTTGGGGAGGATGCTGGCAGGGCAGAGGGGGCTGCAAGTATGAGAGGGCATTGAGGGCCCAGGTCTTCCAGGCCTCAGAAGGGGGCTCCCTGGGGTCACAGGCTTTAGAAGGACCCTTCAGGCTGCCCTGGGAGTGTGGGTTGGAGGGGGCAGGACTGGAGGCCACAAGGCAGGGAGGCTGGGAGGAGGCTGGGCACCATGCCGTGGGAGAGGACACACACAGTGGGAAGGGAAGCCGGCCCCAAGGCGGCAAGGAGTGGGTAAGTTCCACTGCCCTTCCGCAGTCAGCTCCAGAGTGTGGCTGGGGCTGGCTGTGGGAGAAGGGTCCAGAGGGGGGTGCCCGGCTCTGGCTCCCAGTGGAAGAAAGAGGGTCGGGTGGGGCAGTTCTCCCCAGTTCTCGCCAGGTTAGGGGGCTGGAAAGATGAGCCTGCAACCTGCAGGGAGGGGCCGGGACTTCTCTCGCTGTCCCCAAGGGGCTGGGCTTCGGAGCCCTGCAGAGGTGCAGTGGCAGGGTCCCCGAAGGGCTGGGGACCTGCGTTGGTATTGGCACTGACGGGCGCCCCTCAGCCCCTGCTGGGCATGTTCATCTTCCAGGCTCACAGTAGCCCTTAAGGTCAATGCAGGCCCCTGTCCTCTTTCATGGTGACCTGCCTGGGGTCAGACAGCCAGTTTTTCAGTGGCGCTGCCCATGAGCCCAAGACCACCTACTCCCAAGCCCTGCTCCTAGCTTCTCCCATTTCCCCTCCTGATTTCCACTCACACCTGCTGTCCATGTTGTCCTGTTCACCCTCCAACTCACCACCCTACAGGACACAGGGTGTTTGCTAACACTGTTTGTTGACTGACTGATTGACCTGCACGTCAGTGGAAAGTATTTGCCCGGGGATGTTTTCGGCACACACCCAGGTCTCAATCTGTTTGTGGTCAGAGCTATCCTAGACATAAAGGTTGGAGGTGCAAGAGGGGTCACAGGGGAGGAGACCACAGTCACAGGAGCTGCCCTCCCCTCCCTCGGAGCAGGCTCACAGGCCCTTCAAGGCAGCAGTATCAACAGAAACCACCACAGCCAGCCTGGTACACTGACGTCGCATCTGCAAAGTGGCCAGCAGGGCTAGAACCTGAGATGGGATTTTCCCCCAATGCTCTCTGCCTCCTTCCAAGGGCAGAAAAGGTGGAATAGCAATGTGGGGGGCCCAGAGAAGAGATGGTTTAATGCCAGCCTGCCCACAGGAAAAACTCTACAGGGGACCAGCAGTTGGTGTAACAGTTATGTTGCTGGACTCGCACGTAGTCGACCGCAGTTCAAGTCCTAGACCCAGTGGCTTAAAACTCACGCCGGGCACATGTGCTTGCATGTACAAAATCCTAAAAAAGGAGAATGGAGGAAAAGGGATTATGATGTGCTCATCCCCTCTGGGCAGTAATTTCTTGCTTTCTGTCTCTCTGGCAAGCACATGCGCCCTATAGCAAAAAACTTCAAAACACACACACACACACACAAAGGCCCCTACAGACCTGGAGCCTGCTCTCCCTGCCCCCTTGGGCATAGTAGGGCTTGCGTGATGGCCTGCACCCCGATGCCACCCCGATCCCTTGCAGCCTGACCTCTGCTACCAAGACCTGCATAGCGCCTTGCTGTGGGATCCCAAGCATCCACAGGCCAGGGTGCTGCTCAAGACGATGGTGGAGCAGTCCCAGCAGGCGCACCGGGAGGCCGGGGCCCTGGCCGTGCAGGGCAAGCTGCAGCTCGCGCTGCAGCGCATCAACTGCGCCATCGAGAACAACCCTCTGGACCCCAACCTCTTCCTCTTCCGGTATGGTGGGGCAGGGCTGGCCTTGGGGTGCTGGTCCTGCCCTACCTGGCTTGCTGGGTGGTCTAGGGAGCCTCAACCTTCTGCAAGCCAGTTTCCTCCCCCATCTAACCTCTAAGAGCCCCTTTGCCTCCTGGTGGGGTCAGGACCTCACAGACGTGGTCTTGGTTACTGCTCGGTTACTGCTCCTGAATGAGGGGCAGGCAGCAGCTTCCAGCTGACCAAGAACCGCAGGCCTGCTACACAGTGCATGCCTGGAGGCTCAGCCCAGCTCAGCGCGTGAGACAGATTCGAATGCAGCCCCCTGAGGACTTCACGTGATTCAGGCCATTTAACCTCCCGGACCCTGGCTTTTCTCAGTGTGGGTTAAAAGCCTTAATGGAGAGTGGCTCACAAAAAGAGAGAGAAGCTACTTTTGAAAAAAAAAAAAATGACCAGTGATGAGCAAGTTGAGCAGTGATTCACAGCCAACCCCCATGACAGACCTGGGGCAGGAGGTGGTCCCCGACGTTTCCTGGGTCAGAAGACCCAGAGTGGCCAGTGACTTACACAGACGCTCACTGGTGGAGGGTGCACCTTGGCCCTCATGTTCCTCCCTGCCATCCACCATACCCTCCCCAATAGGGGCACCATGTACCGCCGACTCCAGGAGTTCGACAGCGCGGTGGAGGACTTCTTGAAGGCGCTGGACATGATGAGCGACAGCCAGGAGGACATGGTGCAGCAGGCCCAGCGGCAGCTGCTGCTGGCCTACAACGACTTCGCTGTGCACTGCTACACACAGGGCGCCTATCAGGAGGGCGTGCTGCTGCTCAACAAGGCCCTCAAGGACGAGCAGCGGGAGAAGGGCCTCTACATCAACCGGGGTGGTGAGAGGGGCCAGCCAGGGGCTGCGGGGCGCCTCCCAGCTCTAAGGCCCGCTAGCACCTGAGGCCCGGAGGGAGGGAGGATGGGAGGGAGGAAGCACGGGAAAGGGGACATTCGAGTGTCCCAGGACCCACAGGAGATGCTGCCTTAGACACCCTGCAGTTTCCATAAAACGCTGAGAATCAGAGGGCCGGCAGGTGGCTCGGTGGCTGGTGCGCTGGACTCCCACATGACTGGCCACGGAGTCAGACCTGGCAGCTCACTTTCTCACTTTCCCTTTCTCTCTGATCAAATTTAAAAATAATATATATATATATATTCTAATGCTAATTATCAGGCAGCTGGAACTGTGCCCAGACACAGAGAACTGTAGGGGAGCCTGATGGCCTGTGGGCATTAGTCCACCAGTTTCAGGTCTCTCCACGGGGCTGGTTGCACTCCTGGGCGCTGGGATTTGGGAGCCCACTCAGCACCCCCTTTCCCCTGCCTCTGGGGCCTAGATTGCTTCTTCCAGCTGGGCAACCTGGCTTTTGCCGAGGCGGACTACCAGCAGGCGCTGGCGCTGAGCCCGCGGGACGAGGGCGCACACACGCGCATGGGCCTGCTGCAGGAGAAGATGGGCTTCTGCGAGCACAAGCGCAGGTGCGCGGGCTGCGTCTCCGCGGTGGGCGGGGCAGGGCTGGGGGCGTGGCCGGGGCTGCCAGGGGCGGGGTCTGGCAGGAAGACACCTGCCAGGATCTGGGGATCGGGATGAGCCTCCTCTCCCATGATGTCTCCTAAATTCCGATTTACTTTTTAAGTCTTCCTAAAAAGCCTTCACGTTTTCTGATTATTACTGTAATTACGCTTTCATGAAAAGTTTAAATGTTCAGTAATCTATGACTCTGAACGTGAGTCATTCCAATACCTATTTTTGAGACTATTCGACACACATACGCATGTGCCTGGTGCGTTTTTCCAGTCGCAGGGTCTGGGCCTTGAATAGTCATTCCTCCATGTGGGATCCAGTCGCCTTAACTACCATGCCACCAGCTGGCCTCTCCCCTACCCCCAATTTTTTTTATTTTTTTGCTGTCAGAGTTCTTCATAGACTAAGAATGTTAGCTTAGGGCCAGCAGGTAGCATGAAGGTCAAGGTGGCTGGATCCCACGCGGCTGACTTTATGGATCAACTCCTGGACCCAGCGGCTTGAAAACTCACTCGATGTGTGCACATATGTGCCCAAAATCCCAAGAGGAATGTGCCCAAAATCCCAAGAGGAGAAGGGATTGTGGTGTGGCCATTTCCCCAGGGAATGATTTCTCATTTTCCCCCTCTCTCTCGGCCTCTCTCCAGTGAATGCACATAACCTATAGCAAAAATGTAAATAAATAAATAAAAATTTTTAAAAAGGAATATTGGCTTATTGTCTGCTACATGTGGCAAAACATATTTTCCCTAAATACTGCTTTTCTTCAAGCTGTTTTTGCTACTTGAGATTTACTTGTACTCAAATTAATTTTTTCATTTTTGGCTGCCAGGCGTAGGCATTCTCTACCCCAAGATGATAGGGGTTGCACACCATCTGCGTGTCTGGTCCATCGGAGCACAGCTGGTAGAAGGGGCGGAGAGGGACAATGGGGTGGGGGGAGACCAGCCCTGGTTTTCTCCAGCTCCTCAGTGGGGCCCAGGTGCTGTGACCCCCCCCACACACACACACACACAGTGGCCCCACTCACAGCAGCCTGGGGCCCTCTGCGTCCTGCAGGCAGTTCCAGAAGGCAGAGAGCCACTTCTCCGTGGCCATCCAGCACAACCCCCAGAAGGCCCAGTACTACCTGCACCGGGCCAGGAACCGACAGCTCCTGCAGGACACTTCTGGAGCCCGACAGGATGTCGCCACCGTCCTGCTCCTCAACCCCAACCAACCAAAGGTGGGTTCCTGCTAGGCCAGGAGGGCAGGCCCAGAGTCGATACCCTCAGCCCTGAAAGACCCTCCATCCCTGAAGGAAGTCCGCTTTGATAACAGTAAGAGTTGCCGGTGCTGAGCCTTTACCACATCGGCCAGGTCGGCTCCCACCACTCCACCTGGCCCCACCCCCAGGCTAGCATTATCATCACCCCATACACAGACCACAGACAGGAGGGCGAGACTCAGAGGAGGCAGTTCCCTTGCCCCAGGCCCATAGCTTAGAGACCCGAGCTGTCTGGCTCCAGAACCCATCGCTGGACTCCTCCAGACTTCAGTGTCCTGCAGGAATAATCCCTTTCTCAGGGTCTCCTGCTAGTCCTGGTTAAAGGCTCTTTAAAACATGCTTAAAAACAACAATCCAGGGACCAGTAGGTGGCTTAATGGTTATGTCGCTGGACTCCCACATAGTTGACCATGGTTCAAGTCCCAGACCCAGCAGCTTAAACTCATGCTGGGCATGTGCGTGCCCAAGACCCTAAGAGGAGAATGGAGAAGGGACTGCAGTGTGGCCAATCCCTTGGGAGGTGATTCTTGCTTTCTGTCTTTCCAGTGAGCACACGTGCCCTATAGCAAACATCTAATTTAAAAAAAAAAATGTGGCCAGCTGATGGTGTGGTGGTTATGGTGCTGGATTCCCACAGGCTGTGCAGTTCAAGTCCCTGACTCGGTAGCTTGAAAAACACACTGGGGGGACCAGCAGTTAGCGTAATGGCTATGTTGCTTGGCTCCCATGTAGTCGACCATGGTTCGAGTCCCGGAAATGCTGGCTTAAACTCACGCCGGGCGCGTGTGCGTGCGTGCCCAAGATCCCGAGAGGAGAATGGAGGAGAAGGGATTGCCGTGGGGCCATCCCCCCCAGGGGGTGATTTCTCGCTTTCTGTCTCTCTGTCCCTCTCTGTCTTTCTGGCGAGCGCATCCACCCCATAGCAAAAACCTCTCTTAAAAAAAAAGAAAGAAGAAGAAAAAGAAAAACACCTGGGTGTGTGTGTACATGTGCCCAGAATCCATGGAGAAGGAGTTGTGGCAGGGCCATCCCCCCGCACGGTGCACAGTGCTTTCTCATTTTCCCTCCCTCTCTGGCAAGCACATATGCCCTATAGCGAAGAAAAAATAACTAAAAAAGACGACCTAGCCAGCCCTCCTGATCGGGGAGTGCAGGAACAGTCGAGAATCCTTCCTCCCGGCCCTGGGGAGGCTGAGAGGACCCAGACAGCTCCCTGCCTCCCACCCCTGTGCGGCCTACACCCGGCTCAGGTCGCCCTTTGCTTGGCAGCTGTTCATGCTGATGACGACCCTCTTCCCGGGCATGTCGGTGGAGGAGGTGCTTGGCAGCCAGGTGGCCCACTTGGCCAGGCTGCAGCTGCAGCGGCCTGTGGGGCGGTCAGCAGCCCACAGGACCTTGTGGGGTAAGCTTCAGGAGTGGCCGTAGGCTGGCGGGGAGCAACTGGGTTCAAGGCTCCTCTGGCCCAGGCTGCCTCCCTGTGCCACTGTCTGGTTCCAGAGGAGGGCAGGCTGAGTCAAGGAGGCTGACCCCCACCCTGGGCCGGTGGCAGGCTGCTCAGGGAACGGGAGTTAGAGCGCCAGAAGGCTCGGGACCTACAGCTCTCCTGGAGCCTGGAAGAGCCTTTGCTTGAGACAGTTGAAGAGGCCACCCCCCAGATCCTTTGGATGAAACGAGAAAGCTCAAAAGAAGAGGACCTTGAGGAGGAAGAGGAGGAAAAGGTGAGTGGGCACAAGCCAGGGCAGAGGTGGCTGGCACTGAGAGTCCAGCAGACCTGGATCCAAAGCCCAGTGGCCCTGGGCAGCTTGCTTAGTACTGGGAGCTTTGATTTCCTGGCTGGTCCCTGCATGCCCCCGCCCCCACCACATACTGGGAGACGGAAGTGGCACCCGAGTTTACACGCTTGAACTAATTTCCATTTCGCGTGTGGGAAACCGAGGCCCGACAGCAGGCATGTGCGACGGCACCACGCTTATCTAGCCTAGTCACCCCCTTCTTGCCAGTCTTAGCTTCTCCGTGTCCCCACCCACCCTAACCTGGTACCTCCGGGGAGCTCTGAGCTCAGGACGAACGCTCATGAAGGGCCCCAGGGCCAGTGGGCCTCCTGGCTGTGGCCGCTGGGCCAGGGGCTCTCACAGCTGTGCCTGGCTGGCCTCTCCCTGCTGCAGGAGAACCTGGAGCTCAGCCCCGACCGGATGACCTCCCTGTCCGACAGCTACCCCGACCACACCTCCTCGGGCTCCACCTTAGGCTGTAAGTCCTGGGGCTCCTGCCAGGCCCACGTGAACCAAGGCAGCAGAGTGGTGGTGACAGGGCGGGGGTCAGAAACTCCCTGGCCCTGGTGTGGCCTTGGGTAAGTGACTCTGAGTGGAGTGATGACCCCAGAGCTGCAGGCGCTGATGCCCCACAGGGACTGCACCACTGCCGCTGCTCCATCTTCGTCCCCTTCGGACCGGCCTTTGCTCTGCCCCTCAGCCTGCCCCTGGAATAAGCCCACAAACCCAGTGTGTGGTCAAGAGGCTTTACCCCAACCCCCCCAGGCACCAACATGGAGGGACAAAAGTAGAACACCTGGGAAGGCTGGGCCCCCCAGAACCCTGAGCACCGGCCAAGCAGTCCTGCTGGGAGGACCACGGCCGGGCCCAGGCCCCTCCCTTCCTCTCGGGGCACCTCGACAAATACATGGAGTGTTCTGGGGCCAGGACTGTGCCTGACCTGGTGCCAGGGATGAATGGCACAGGCCTCGCCCTGGGGAGTGGGCTCGAGGTCAGCTCTGAGGGAGAAGCAGGCGGGCACAGACCACCAGGAGACAGTGGGCGGGACAGTGACGGGAAGTCCAGAGGGCTGGGAGTGTATTTGGCCCCCTTTGGGGATCAAGGAGGGCTCCCAGGGCCTGAAGGGAGGTTAGAGGTCAGCCAAGGATGGGAGTGGGGTGCTGCTGGGAGGGGCTGGAGCCCTGCAGGGCACACAGGGTAAGGGACAGGCAGCAGAGTGGGCAGGGGCTGGGAAGTGGGCTGCAGGCACCCCCGATCTCACAGGGGCCAGGCTGCAGTGGAGACTGGGCTGGGAGGACAAGAAGCCTTCCCTTACTTAGGTCATGCATAGCCTCAGGGCTGTAGTGGGCTGCAGGCACCCCTGATCTCACAGGGGCCAGGCTGCAGTGGAGACTGGGCTGGGGTGACAAGAAGCCTTCCCTTACTTAGGTCATGCATAGCCTCAGGGCTGTAGTCGGGGTGGGGCCTGGAAGGCCCTTGCCTGGAGCAGTCTGGGGCAGGCGTGATGGGTGCCTTGGGCATGCCCTTCCCAGTCAGGATGACATCGACCTCAGAGATGGACACGTCCACCTCCAACCAGGACTACCAGAGCAGCCCGGCCACCGCTGCGCCGTCCTCCAGCTCCTCACCGCCCAAGTCTCAGTCCTCAGACTCCGGGAGCAAGAGGGAAGACCGAAGCCTGAGCCATCGCCCCCTAAAAAAACAGGCTCCCCAGAGCCCCAGGCAGAAATCCTATAAGACTAAGGCCACCCGGCGCCACAGGAAAAGCCCTAGAGAGGCTGAGGCCACCCAGGGGCACAGGCAGAGCCCCAGAAAGACTGAGACCACTAGGGTTCGAAGCCAAAGCCTCAGTGAGACTGAGGCCACCCAGGATCAAAGCCAAAGCTCTAGAGAGATGGAGACCACCCAGGGCCACAGGCAGAGCCCCAGTGAAACTGAGGCCACCCAGGGTCAAAGTCAAAGTTCCAGCAAGAATGAGGCCTCAAGGCTGAGGCCCAGCAAGATCAAGGCCACTCAGAGCCCAAGTCGGAGGCTCAGAAAGGCCAAGGTTGCCCATGGCCAGAGCTGGAGACCCAGCAAGGCTGAGGCCACCCAGGGCCAGAGCTTGGCACTGCTCCGAAGTTCTAGCAAGACCAAGGCTTTTGCTGAACCAAGCTGGAGCCCCAGTAGGTCTGAGGTCACCCAGGCCCAGAGCCAAAGGCCCAGCAAGACTGAGATGATCCTGGGCCAGGGCCACAGGCCCAGCAAGACTGAAGCCACCCAGGGCCAGGGTCACAGGCCCAGCAAGACCGAGGCCACCCAGGGCCAGGGTCACAGGCCCAGCAAGACCGAGGCCACCCACGGGCAGGGTCACAGGCCCCCACCCAGGGCCAGGGTCACAGGCCCAGCAAGACGGAGGCCACCCAGGGTCAGGGTCACAGGCCCAGCAAGACTGAGGCCACCCAGGGTCAGGGTCACAGGCCCAGCAAGACCGAGGCCACCCACGGGCAGGGTCACAGGCCCAGCAAGACTGAGGCCACCCAGGGTCAGGGTCACAGGCCCAGCAAGACTGAAGCCACCCATGGGCAGGGTCACAGGCCCAGTGAGACTGAGGCCACCCATAGCCAGAGTCACAGGCCCAGTGAGACTGGGGCCACCCAAGGCCAGAGCCATAGACCCAGTGAAGTTGAGGGTCCACAGGGCCAGAGCCATAGGGCCAGGGAGGCCAAGGATGCCCAGGGCCAGAGCCACAGAGCCAGGGAGGCCAAGGATGTCCAGGACCAGAGCCACAAGGTCAGTGAAGCTGAAGGTGTCCAGGGCCAGAGCCATAAGGCCAGTGAAGCTGAGGGTGCCCAAGGCCAGAGCTACAGGGCCAGGGAGGCTGAGGGTTCCCAAGGCCAGAGCCATAAGGCCAGAGAAGCCGAGGGTGCCCAGGGCCAGATCCACAGGACCGGGGAGGCCGAGGGTGCCCAGGGCCAGAGCCACAGGGCCGGGGAGGCCGAGGGTGCTCAGGGTCAGAGCCATAAGGCCAGAGAAGCCGAGGGTGCCCAGGGCCAGAGCCATAAAACTGGGGAGGCCGAGGATGCCCAGGCAGAGCCATAAGGGGCCAGACAGAGCCATAAGGCCCAGGGCCAGATCCACAGGACCGGGGAGGCCGAGGGTGCCCAGGGCCAGAGCCACAGGGTCGGGGAGGCCAAGGGCACCCAGGGCCAGAGTCATAATGCCGGTGAAGCTGAGGGTACCCAGGCCCAGAGCCATAAGACTGGGGAGGCCGAAAGTGCCCAGAGCCAGAGCCTCAAGGCTGGGGAGGCCGAGGGTGCCCAGGGCCAGAGCTGCAGGACCTGGAAGGCTGAGGGTGTCAAGGGCCAGAGCCAGCCCATGAGCTCAAGTTCTAGCAAGACTGAGGTCACCTGGGGACCAAGCCCAAGTATCAGCAAAACCCCAACCCCTTAGGGCCCAAGCCAGTGTCCTGAGAAAATCCAGACTGGCCAGGACCCCGGCTGGTCTGCAGCTCCCTAAGAGGCCCCTCACCCCTCACTTCCTGTTGGGGAGGGAGGGCTTCCGCCCCCACACACTGGCATGGAACAAAGCTGCCTCTTTCTGGAGCACTGGAAACCTCAGCCGACAAGCCACTGGCCCCACGGTTATGTTTATTATACTTGTTCTCTTTTACAAAATTAAAAACTTCTTAACCACACCCAACTGGCAGCTTGATTCCCTCCATGCACAGAAGGTGACGAGGCCCAGCCTGGCTTTGTGACACTGGGACATGGCGAGGGCAGGCGGTACCAGAGAAAGGGGCGAGGGTGACACACCAGGAGGGAGAGCAGCCCCGAGCCACAGTCCCTGAGTTACAGTTCACATTGAGAAGGCTCAGCTGGAGGGGAGGTTAAGGCTCAGTGAGGTCTTGGGGTGATCAGGAGTTTCCTTGGGGAAGGCAGCAAGAGCCACAGGGACCTTGGACTGGTGAAAGGGCCAGGGCCCCTCCCAGCCATCTGGCCCAGGTCTGGCCGATACCCTGCTTTGTCTTCCTCTTGAGCTCTGGCCCCACTCTCCAGGAGGCCGGGAACGGTCCATCTGGCAGAGCCCAGGCCTTTCCCACATGGCTGGTGGGTAGCAGAGGGCAAGAGTGCCACCCTGGGAGTCAGAGGAAGAAGGCGATTCGAGAGGCTACAGTCTTACAGCCGTTGGAGGAAAAGAGCTGCTCGGCCTCGGGGAAGAAGGTGGTGCTGTCCAGCACAGCCTGGACCACCTCATCCTCTGGCTCCAGGCCCAGCTGGGTCAGCTCGTTGAGCACGCAGTGCCGAACATGGTGCCGCTGGAGCGGGAGGAAGGGCACCACGGCGTCCAGGAGCTGCTCCTCCATGATGCCCGAGTGCCAGAAACCATCTGCAGGAAGGGCGTGGGGCAGGGGTGCTGAGGACATGGTGTCGGGGGAGAGCCGGGCCACACCCGAGCCTGGGGAGGCGTGACACTGCCCACTACTGCCTTATCGGCCACCTTCCAGAGTGGGCTCAGGGCAGTGTGCTCCCCTGGGTCACAGAGCGAGGCACCAAAGGCAGGGTGAGGACCTGGAGGACCTGGCCCTGGCGGACGGCCCCCAGCTGCACTCACGGTGTGGGTTGTCCTGCACAGCCTGGGAGATGACGGGCTGCAGCTCCTGCAAGCGGATCTCCTCGCGGTCCCGGCGGCTGCGCCACGCCTCCAGTGCCACCTGGTTGATCTGCTCGCCACCAGTATTGCTAAAGCCATGGGGAACCCAGCAGAGACTCAGATAGGGACCCGTGAGGCAGGCTTGGTCCCACTGCCCGGTGCCACCTAATAGGACCTGGGGACACAGCTCAGGCCTGGCAGGAGTCAGACCTGCCAGAAAGGTTCCCCATGTCCTGATCTCGTATCCACACCAGGACCCTGCCACTCACCTCCGCATGCTGTGCACTTTACGGTTTACAAAGCAGACAGTGTCCTGGCCTGGACTCAGGGCCTGAACATTGGCCCTGCTGCTCAGAAGAGACAGCGGCTCAGGGAGGTGAAATAACTTCGTTTAAGGAAACACAGCGAAGACTCGAAGCCAGGACTAGAGAACAAGAACTCTACTCCCGTTTTTCCCAGGCCCAGGTCCTGCTGGCCCTAACGGAGGAAAAACCCTTGCCCTGGCAAATCTTCCCCAGAGAAGCCACGAGCCCCAGCAAGGGCTGTGAGAACGTCAAAGGGGAAGTAAGCCGCCTTGAACAGAAGGGTCACTGGCAAGTGTGAGAGCCTTGGGGACCAGGTCCAGGGGGTAGCATTCTACAGGGAGCACAGGCCACCTGCACTGTGCCCCAAAGCAGGGCCCCACCTGATGAAGATGAAGATGGCTTTGCGATAGTTGGTACCGTACACGACCCAGGAGGAGCCCAGGAAGGGTCGCAGGACCTCCATCAGGCCTGGGGGTAACTTGTCCATTTCATCAAAAAGGAAGAGGGAGCGGCCGCAGGCAGTGAGGTTCCCCTGGACCCAGCTCTTGAGATCCTTCTGTGGGGGAGACACAGGAATTTGAGGATTCAAGGGAGCTGGAGATACTCCCCCAACTCCTTCCTGATCCAAGAATTAATGCCCTTTCTAGGGAGCTATGGTCTCCCAGAGTGCACCCCTTAACCAGACCGATGGTGAAACTGTGGCCCAGGGAGGGGCAGAGCCTTGCCCAAGGTCTCATAGTTGGCAGCAAGAGATCAGGGGCTCAAACTCAGGCCTCTGATCTACGGGGTCAGGGTGCCCTCCATGACACCCACTGCTTTCTATAAAAGGGGAGGGCTCCTTCCAGCGCCCTCCATCTTCCCGACGGCGCTGACAGCTACAACAGACCAGTCTAGAAAGCACCCTGCAATCAACAACGGTGCAGAGAGTGGTGTACCGAGGTCTTACTCTGGGCCACAATCTGGGGCTTAGTGGGGGAGATGCTAGCGCAGTCTGTCTTGCAAACAGAAGCACTCAAAAATAATAGCTACGATCAGATAATCCCAAGTCCCTCACAACAGCCCTAGCAGATGGGAACCATAACTGCTCCTGGGAATCGAAGAACTCGCAGCCAGGTAGAATGGCACCACCCCCAAGCTCTGTTCAGCATGGTGCGGGGGCTGAGGTTCCAGCTGGCTGTGTGGCCTGGAGCAAGGGGCTCCCGTCTTTGGGGTCAGCGCTCACCCTCTAGGGCCCACCACCCCACAGTGTGGTGCAGGCCCCCTCCAGCCTACCTTGTAGCGCTCAATGTGGCTGGGGTGGGGGAAGTGGATGACAGGGGAGAAGTGGTGCACATGAGGGCTGCTCAGGCCACCCTGGAAGAGGTAGCTAGCCAGCAGGGAGCTGACGTAGGACTTGCCAGTGCCGGTCCAGCCGTGCAGGGACAGCACCAGCGGCTTGGTAGGGGCCGGGTCCTGCACGAAGGCCCTTAGCACCTTCACCACTAGTGCCCTGGCCAGGTGCTGGCCTGCCAGGTGCTGGGCCAGGTCACACTCCAGACCTAGGGCCAGAAGAACAGCGTCAGCGCTGAGAACATCCCCACCTAGAGAAGTTCAAGGGGAAGTTACATCTGGAAGCTGGCCCAGGGAGCCTTGGGTTCCTGGAGTTGTCTGTGCACATGGCCTGGGGCTCTTGGGGCCGCTGGCTGCAGGAGCCACCCTCTGGTCGGACTTAGCTCAGTGGCGCCCCCACCAGGCGGTCCTACAGATAGCGCTCGGTCCTAAGTGAGTGGGAGCTATCAACAGGGTCTGATCCAGACCCCTACCCGGCCCAAGACAGGCTTTTCCCCGGATGGCCAGTCCACTCCAAGGAGCCCTAACACCCCGCAATGGGCCCTGCTGTCAAAGGCCTCCCTACATCCTGACGGACCCTGCTGGACCCTAATAGGTACCCCAAACCCTCGCCCCAGGTTAGTACCCCAGGCCCTCAGTTTCCCTCGACCGCAGGCCCACTGCTAGTCTACGGGTCCGAAACTCTGTGGGGCCCGCCCCTCGTTCTATCCCGCGAGTCCACGACTGCTCTGGCCTGGGCAAGCCGGGCTCCGAATACTCCCTGTCCTCCCCTCCGGTACCGGATCCAGGCTCTCCGGCTCCTCACCCTGCAAGTCGGGCCGGAAGTCACATTCGCAGAAGGCGCCAAAGTTGCAGCGCAGCGAAGGCAGGTCCCAGGTGGCGGCAGCGGCGGAAACCAGCCCGAGCAGCCCGATGAGCGAGCCCCAGGGCCGGCAGCCGCGCGTCACTGCAGCCATTCGGGTGAGGCCAGAGCTCGGTCTCGGCCCACCAACTGCCTCGCTTGAGAACTACATCTCCCTGCATGCACCGCTCAGCAGAAGCCACGCCCACCGCCTACAACTCCCGTCTCCCCTCTCGCCCGTCTCATAAACTTTCCCAGTAGTCCCACCTCCAGGGGGAGCCCGCGAACCGTCCAATCCGGGACGGCGGGCCGCGTTTCCATAGCCACGGTAACTAGGGGACCGTCGTAGTAGCTCAGCAAAAGTAAATAAAGGAGTCTGACCGCTAACGGTGACGTCACAATTTAGCGAAAACTTGTGCGGAACCTTACACCTTAAAAGCGCCTCTTCCACGCTCTTTTGTTCTTTTATGTAATAAGAGTGTTCACTAAAAGCGTTTGGCGAGCGCCTACTGTGTGCCTTTAGTGCCAGGTGGTTTATATATCTTATAATACGGTTTTAGTACCTGCCAGGCAGAGAATGGTGCTATTTCAGTGAGATACAGACACATAAGTGTTTGGGTTCAGAAAGTAATCAATAAATGGGGCCAGCGGGTGGCATTAAAGGTGCTGGACGCCCGTGGCTGACCACGGTTAGGGTCCCAGAGCTGGTGGCTTGCCTTCCCTTTCCCTTTCTTTCTCTGTCTCTCTCTGGTAAAATTAAAAAATAATAACAAATGGAATGAAATAAATAATTCAAAAAAAAGAAAGTAATCAATAAATTATCATTGACCATCCATTATGTGTGACACGAGGCTGTCCCTTTCTCAGAAGCTACTCTGTGCTTTATCCTAACACCGGTCCTAGAAGACAGGTTGTTATTGTCCCCACCTTTTTTTTTTAGGATTATTTATTGAATTTTATTTACCCTTATTTTTTTTTTTTTTATTTTACCAGAGTGAGAGAGAGGGAAAGTGAGAAAGCAAGCCACTAGGTCTAGGACTCGAACCACAGCCAGCCATGTGGGAGTCTGGTGCCTTAAGCACCACGCCACATGCCAGACCCCCATCTTTTCTTCTTTTGGAGAGGTTTTTGCTGTAAGGCGTATGCCCTCGCCAGAAAGACAGAGAGAGACAGAAAGCGAGAAATCACCCCCAGGGCGGGGATGGCCACGCCGCAATCCCTTCTCCTCCATTCTCCTCTCAGGATCTTCGGCACACACGCACACGTGCCCGGCGTATGAGTTTTAAGTCACCAGGTCCGGGACGCGAAACCGCAGTCGACTACATGGAAGTCCAGCAACATAGCCATTACGCTAACTGCTGGTCCCCCCATCTTTTCTTTTTAAGAATTATTTTTTATTTAACTTTATTTATTTTAATTTGACCAGAGAGGGGCAGAGTGAGAGAGAAAGAGAAAGGGAGAAAGCAAGCCACCAGGTTGGGACTCAAACCATGGTCAGCCATGTGGGAGTCCAGCGCCCTTTACCACACCACCTCCTGGCCCCTACTGTCCCCATTTATCGAGGAGGAATTTGGAACTGAAGAGGTTAAGCCTCGCGTCACCTGTGGCCTGGTGGTTAAGGGAGCCAGATCCCGCATGGCCAATTATAGTTCAAATCCTGGCCCTGGAGGCTTGTAAAACACCAGGCATGTGTGTATACTCCAAATGCCAACAGGAGGAAGACATGGAGAAGGGATTGCAGCGTGACCATGCCCCATTGAGGCTGCTTTCTGCCTCTCTCTCTTTCTCTCCCCCCCCACCCGTCTTTCTCTGGTGAGTGCAAGGGCCTTCTGGCAATTTAAAAAAAAAAAAAAAGGAGAGATTAAGTGTGTTATCCCAGGTCACCCAACTAGTAAACAATAGAACTAAAGCCAAGTCTGGCTCCTGCCAAAGATCTACAGCTACGCTGTACGTTGTCAATCTCTCTTGGTCAAAGGATTCTGAAGGCGAAACCAGCAGTTAGCGTAATGGCTATGTCGCTGGACTCCCATGTAGTCGACTGCGGTTCGCGTCCCGGACCCGGTGGCTTAAAACTCATGCAGGGCGCGTGTGCGTGCGTGCCCAAGATCCCCAGAGGAGAATGGAGGAGAAGGGATTGCGGCGTGACCATGCCCCCTGGGGGGTCATTTCTCACTTTCTGTCTGTCTGGCGAGCGCACATGCCCTATAGCAAAAACCTCTTCAAAAAAAAAAAGGATTCTGAAGGCAAAGGACTCTCACGTTTCAAACTCAGTGAACAGTCTTCCCGGTTCTCCAGCTTTGCCTGGAACCGTGTTGGTCTTCCACCACTGGAGTAAGGGAATCAAGAAAACTGCTGATAACCCACCTCAACCATTCACCACCCCACACCAGACCTACACACACACACACACACTGGCTTCTGAGAGAAAGGTGCTTTCTTCCACCTAGGACCCCTGTGAGACAGAAGAAAGAGTCATAAAAGTTTATTATATGAAAGAAAGAACATGGCTTCTGTACATCTATTTACAGAACAGACTTATTTACAGTAAGAGGGAGGCCTTGGTGTCGGTGGGAGCAGATTCCTGGAGGAGAGAGAGGAGGCGTGAGGAGCCTCCATGGCTCAAAAACAGGGAACCTTGGCAGGAAGGGAAGCAGCAGAAGCTGGTGGGAGGAACAGCGGTTGCTGTTCTTCCTGAAGGGAGACTTGCGAGCGTGGGGCGGTGGGGTGCAGTCCAGAATCCACGCAGGACCCTGGAGGTACAGAGGAGATCCTGGAGCTGAACCCAGAACATTCTCGGGCTGATCACAGTGTCCCTGGGGTGCTCTGGAGAAAAGTCCTTGTCCCTCTGCCCCCGATGATGCCCGAAGCTGCAGAGGCAAAAGGTCCCTGGCGTCACAGCTCGCTGGAGCGAACGGCAGGCTCCAGTTTGTGGGACAGGGCAGTGAGGACCTTGTCGAACTTCTCGTAGCGCCGGGCCTGGCTGCTGCTGGCGCCCTGGCTGCCCCAGAGCAGACGCATCTGGAACTCGGTGCTGAACACCTCCAGGAGCTCAGGCCGGGCCTGGAACCCTGCAAATGTGCGAGCACAGAATTAGGGGACAACCCTTCAGCTGGGGGGCTGGAGCTCTTCCCAGGACCCCACATCTTTCAGGGACCTGCCGTAGAGGCCTCCTCCCAGCTCTGCCAGGAATCCAATGAGGTTTGTTAACCAATGTGAGCAGTCTAGCACTTAATCTTTGCCCTCCTGTTTGCAACATATTGTTTTTAAGTGACCAGAGGTAAAATATTAATGCTAAGTTTTCTGGAGATCTTAGGTGATTTTCCTTTCTTTTCTTTTTTTTATTTTCTTTTTTTTTTTTTTTTTTTTTTTTTTTTTTTTTTTAGTCTTTGTTTTTTTTTTTTTTACACACATGGGACAATGGAGGAGAAGGGACTGTGATGTGGGCATCCCCCCAGGAGGTGACTCCTCACTTTCCCCTCTCTCTGTCTCCTTCTGTCTCTCTCCAGCAAGCATATATGCCCTATGGAAGGGGAAAAACAAACAAACAAACAAACAAAAATGAAGAAACAAATGAATAAAAAAACATAATTTTTTCTTTCTGAGAAACAAAAAGGTGCACACACCCTAGAATGTTCCCAGTATTTACCTCTGGGTAATTGTGGAGCATATTTTTAATCTTATTTTTGCTCAGCTATAATTTCCCATTTATCACCAGTGTGAATTTTTATGACTTAAATAACGCCTACAGAAGTAAAAGATAGACTGTCTGAAGCCACTTTCTCCCTTCCTTTCATGAGACGGAGTTCTACTTTCAACGAGACTGAGTTCCTTGAAGGCTGGACAGGTCTGTCTCAGTTCCAGGTCCCCAGGTGCATGCCTGGCAGACAACCTTGTAAAGTAGACCCGTAGGAGGTCCACTCCACAGAGGAGCACACTGAGGCCCAGGGACACTCAGGGGCACAGCCTAGGTGCTCCCTGAGCCATCCGTGTCCCCATCCTCATCTAAGACCTGCCTCAGACAGAGTGACTGCAGAGAGGGTTGAACAAAAGCAGCCAGGGCAGCAGGGCAGGGCAGGGGCTACAGGAATGTGAATGCCGGTGGAGAAGAGGGGAGTGGGGAGTCAGGTGGAGGGACCACAAGGCACAACTTGCCACTCACCTTGCAGTTTGACCTCGGCGTTGGTGTGGTACAGGCCTCCGTGGTGCGCCACCGTGCGGGCCGCTTCTAGGTGGGCCAACACCACCTCCACGCCATGCTCTGTGCTGCCCCAGGGCTCGGGGCCCTCGGCCGGGGCCGAGTCGCACTCCAGCAGAGTGATGAGTGGCAGTACGTGAGGAAAGGTCGTGTTGCTCAGTGGCGGGCCTTCTGCAGGGAGGAAGACAGCAGGTGCTCAGAAACCCTGGCAGGCCCCACCACCCCTGCAGTCCCAGAGATGAGGCTCGGGAGGGAAGGGGCACGCCTGAGGTCCCAGGGAGAGCCCTAGGGCTCCTGACTCCTGGGACAAACCCTTTTCCCACAGCTTTGGTATCCCACAGCTGAACCCACTACGGCCTTGGCCCAGACAAAGGCCGAGCCTGGACTTTGATGTGGCCTAAGGAGCTGCCAGGTGCAGAGAGCGAGTGCAGGGAGAAGAGGCCACAGAGCCCGGCTGCACTCTCATCATCATCCCCACTGCGAGAGTGTGCTAGTCCAGGGAGAGCCAGAACCTGCCCAAGGTCACTCAGCAAGGCAGGGCAGTTACCTTTGCCCTCATTGAGGCTTTTGAGGAACGGCTTGAGCTTCTTCTCATACAGGATGGCGCCCTCCGTGTGTCGCTGCCTCAGAGTCACCCATGTCTGCTCCAGCCGGGAAATCTGGGGAGATCGGACTGTGAGAGACCAGCCAGGCTGCTGGCCACAGGCTGGCCCGCCGAGGGGGGGGGGCGCAGCCGGGGG